TTCTTGTAGCAGAACGTCTTGCAGCAGAACTTCTTGCAGCAGAACTTCTTGCAGCAGAACTTCTTGTAGCAGAACGTCTTGCAGCAGAACTTCTTGCAGCAGAACTTCTTGCAGCAGAACTTCTTGTAGCAGAACTTCTTGCAGCAGAACGTCTTGTGTTAGAACGTCCTCAGCAGAACTTCTTGCAGCAGAACGTCTTGCAGCAGAACTTCTGCAGCAGAACTTTTTGCGTTAGAACTTCTGCAGCAGAACTTCTTGCAGCAGAACTTCTTGCAGCAGAACTTTTGCAGCAGAACTTCTTGCAGCAGAACTTCTTGCAGCAGAACTTCTTGCAGCAGAACTTCTTGCAGCAGAACATCTGCAGCAGAACTTCTTGCAGCAGAACTTCTGAAGCAGAACTTCTTGCGGCAGAACGTCTTGTGGCAGAACTTCTGCAGCAGAACTTCTTGCAGAAGAACTTCCTGCAGAACTTCCTGCAGCAGAACTTCTTGCAGCAGAATGTTCTGCAGCAGAATTTCTTGCAGAAGAACGTCGGGCAGAACTTCCTGCAGCAGAACTTCTTGAAGAAGAACTTCCTGCAGCAGAACTTCTTGAAGAAGAACTTCCTGCAGCAGAACTTCTTGAAGAAGAACTTCCTGCAGCAGAACTTCTTGCAGAAGAACTTCCTGCAACAGAACTTCTGCAGCAGAACTTCATGCAGCAGAACGTCCTGCAGCAGAACTTCCTGCAGCAGAACTTCTTGCAACACAACTTCTTGCAGCACAACTTTGCAGCACAACTTCTTGTGTTAGAACATCTGCAGCAGAACTTCTTGCAGCAGAACCTCTGCAGCAGAGCTTCTGCAGCAGAACTTCTTGAGTTAGAACTTCTCCAGCAGAATTTCTTGCAGCAGAACTTCTGCAGCAGAACTTCTTGCGGCAGAACTTCTTGTGGCAGAACTTCTTGCAGAAGAACTTCCTGCAGCAGAACTTCAGCAGCAGAACTTCCTGCAGCAGAACTTCCTGCAGCAGAACTTCCTGCAGCAGAACTTCCTGAAGAACTTCCTGCAACAGAACTTCTGCAGCAGAACTTCATGCAGCAGAACGTCCTGCAGAAGAACTTCCTGCAGAAGAATTTCCTGCAGCACAACTTCTTGCAGCAGAACTTCTTGCAGCAGAACTTCTTGCAGCAGAACCTCTGCAGCAGAACTGATGCAGCAGAAATTCTTGTGTTAGAACTTCTGCAGCAGAACTGATGCAGGAGAACTTCTGCAGCAGAAATTCTTACAGCAGAACTTCTGCAGCAGAACTTCTGCAGCAGAACTTCTTGTGTTAGAACTTCTGCAGTGGAACTTCTGCAGCAGAACTTCCTGCAGCAGAACTTCTTGCAGCAGAACTTCCTGCAGCAGAACTTCTTGCAGCATCTTTTTGTCCACAAACGTTGCTAAGTTCTCATGAATCAACGTCGACACGTCCCCCAGAGTTTCACAGTCAAGGTGTTGTGAGTTTCCTTTTATAATCAGGTGTAAAAAGCTGGAGAGGAGAGGCTCAGCAGAAACCAGCAGGAAACATTTTATCTGTTAAAATTATTTAACATAATTTAATCTGTTTAAATACTAATTTTGTTTCTGGATCATTCAGCACAGAAGAAAAATACTTTAATATTATATCTGTTTTAATTCTAACAATCTAATCTTAGTTGTTGTTGTTTCCAGTAAAAGAAACCCCAACCAGAGCTGCGGTTCAGTTCTGCTTCACCCTCTGTTCTGCAGTTTTAGTCCAGTCCTCGGCTATTTTTAGAGGAAGAATTGCTCATTGAACTGTAGCGGCTCCAACACAAACAGAGGGAGCGCGGTAGTGCCAGATCACTCCCTCAGGAGCTCAGGTGAAGGTAGCTGCAGGAAATATTCAGCAGGTGAAAACAACGACTAACATCAGGTTCAGGACTGGGTTCAGACCTTTAAAACACTTCTGTACAATCAGTCATCTTAGAAAATAAAAACAAAAAGCTTGATCTTGTTCTTAACACCTGCTGCCACTGAATCTGGGCGATCAACTCATGTTAGCAAAATATATACAGCATAGTAACACTTTCAGAGTTTAATAGCTTGGATGCAACCAGTGGTGGGCACAACTTACCAAAACGTTTCACTAACTACTAATCCGCAAAACAAGAAGCTTAGCTCTCCTAACGCTAAACAGCTAAACCGATAAACAGCTAAACACATTTAAAGACGAGCAGAAGCTAACGCTAACTACAAAAACTGGAGGGACTAATAATCCAAGCCAGAGTTATATCTCTGTCTAACTTCCAGTTTAACCTTTTCAGAATAAGAGCATTAATTTGATCAACTTTGTCATTTTATAAATACCGTTTGAAGTTAGTCAAACAAAGGAAGTTTTACACTTGGGAATATTTTAGTGGACTTAAAATTAGCAGAAAGCTAATTGGTCCACTAGCGGTTTCCAAAGTTAGCAAAAACGCTAACCGCTAAATGAGAAGCTAGTTTAGATATTAGCAGGTTAGAGGAACTGTGCCCACCCCTTTGTGGAGTCAACCTGATTCAAAACGTCGCAGCAGCTGCACTGATGCGCAGCGTCGACGTAGAACCTTTTACATTTTTGGAACAGAAGCTTTCGCTCCAACTTTTAATTTGAAAAGCCACATCAAAGCTGGAACTCACAGCATCTGCTCTCCTGCCTCATGTCCGTCCACGTCCCGTCAGAGAGACACTTCCTGACCTTTGGGCCCACGATGACCCGGTGCCCTCTGCAGATGTATTCGATCTCATAATCCACCGGCAGGTTCTGCACGCTGCGGATCTGTGGGGGGGAGAGTCAAGAGTTTACCTTCGACTAACCGTGAGCTCAGAGCAGGATGAGCCCAATCCAAGTTCTGACCCGGTCTGTGAGTCCGACTGAGTGGAGGAGTCTGTGAGCGGGTCAGAACTTTTTGTTTCAGCCAGGGTCCACACCAACCTGCAGCCGAACATCTCTGTTCTGAAAATTTTTCTGTTGTTTAATTACTTTTATTTTTTTAGCTACAATGTGGAAATTTACTATTTAGCTACCTTTGGCCTTAAGCTAACGTTAAATTAGCTTTAACTACCAATATGCTACTTTTAGCTACCATGCTGCCAGTTTTAGCTTTATTGTTGGTTACTACACTTCCCACTTTTAGTTATTGCTTTGCTATGTTTAGCTTTTAGCTGTCATTCAGACACTTCCAGCTTTTAGTTATTGCTTTGCTATGTTTAGCTTTTAGCTATCATTTAGACACTTCCAACTTTTAGTTATTGTTTTGCTATGTTTAGCTTTTAGCTATCATTCAGACACTTCCAACTTTTAGTTATTGTTTTGCTATGTTTAGCTTTTAGCTATCATTTAGACACTTCCAACTTTTAGTTATTGTTTTGCTATGTTTAGCTTTTAGCTATCATTCAGACACTTCCTGCTTTTAGTTATTGTTTTGCTACGTTTAGCTTTTAGCTATCATTTAGACACTTCCAATTTTTAGTTATTGTTTTGCTATGTTTAGCTTTTAACTACCATTCAGAAACTTCCAACTTTTAGTTATCGCTTTGCTACATTTAGCTTTTAGCTATCATTCAGACACTTCCAGCTTTTAGTTATTGTTTTGTTACAATTAGCTTTTAGCTATCATTTAGACACTTCCAATTTTTAGTTATTGTTTTGCTACATTTAGCTTTTAGCTATCATTCAGACACTTCCAACTTTTAGTTATTGTTTTGCTACGTTTAGCTTTTAGCTGTCATTCAGACACTTCCAACTTTTAGTTATTGTTTTGCTACGTTTAGCTTTTAGCTGT